CCATATTGATTACAAAGGTTAAAATAAGTTTATTTTTGTATACGTTGTTTGTATACAGACATATGTCAGTATAAACAGTGGATCATCTGCCATGGGATTTTTGTGCTACTATGGAATCCAAGCTCCTAGAAGTCAAGGGAGTCACATTTTTATCAAATTATATTTACTGTGTGTATTGTTAGTCTGTTTTCACGATGCTGACAAAGACATACCTGAGACTGAGCAAATTACAAAAGAAAAAGTTTTAATTGGACTTACAGTTAATAAGTAAGTTTTAACTTACAGTTAAAAAAGATTTAATTGAACTTCCACGTGGCTGGGGAAGGTCTCACAATCATGACAGAGGATGAAAGGCACTTCTTACATGGTAGAGGCAAGAGATAATGAGGAGGAAGCAAAAGCAGAAACTCCTGATAAACCCATCAGATCCTGTGAGATTTATTCACTATCATCAGAATAGTATGGAAAAGACTGGCCCCCATGATTCATTTACCTTTCCCTGGGTCCCTCCCACAACACATAAGAATTTTGGGAGATACAATTCAAGTTGAGATTTGGGTGAAGATATAGCCAAATCATATCACTCCTAGAAGTCAGGGGAGTCAAATTTGTCATATTATAATTACTGGGTAATGACTGGATTATGAAAGATTTTGAGTTCCTTTTCTATTCTGGGATTTTTAACATCTCTGAGTCTCTTCTGAGCACCCACTCACAGAATGTTAAAGTCCGAGTGCAGATTTTGGCACAGGGTGGACCCTCACCAAATACTAGTCCCCACGAGTACCTAATAGATTATTTTCCATTGTCCACCTCTTCCTCCAAGTCTGTGTGGCCCTGCTTTGCTGTCAGATTCTAACTTAGTTCACTGTGAAGAAAGGTAAATCAAAACATACCTTAAAACGCTTTCCTCAGTTAGCTCTTGTGTCTCTCCAATTTTCCCCTTTTGGGACCATTTTGTGTCAGTCTCTGGCTGATCAGTGTTCACACCACGTTCTGATTTAGCATAAACTGCAATTTTTATGAACACAGCAAGAGCTTCACTACCTCTTCCAAATTAATGATAAAGGTGTTAAATAAGAGCATCCTCGACAGCCATCTCTGCAGCTCCCTATGACCAGATACTTTGCAATTTATCAACAACCTTTCTTTGTGATCTTGTAGCTTATTTTGCAAATAAAATTTTCTGAGACATATCAAATCTTTACCAACATAAGATATACTACATCTCTTAAATATCCTCTTTATCTATTCATAACTGTCAAAAAAAAAAAAAAGCTATTGTGCAGGAATGATTTGTCTCTTTGAAGCCTAAGTCGCTTATTGTTCCTGATATCATCACTCTCCTGCTACTTAGAGACATATATATATATGTGTGTATATGTGTATATATATATATATGTATATGTGTGTGTATATATATATATGTATATGTATATAAGATTATGATTGGAAGTGATGTTTACAGGGCATTATTGCCAGTATCTTTCTTTTCTTCTTACTTACTTCCAAAATCAGGCTATGTTTCATATTCACACCAGTCCATCCATCTGGTAATTTTCCTGATTCCATAGCAAGTGCTCAGCCTGATTTTTGATGATTACTATGTGAAGCTCATCAAACTCGAGGTTCCCATCCTCTGGACCTTGAGCGACATCCTAAGTAATCTAGGCCAATGTCGAAGAGTCCTTGCACTCTCACAGTGTGAGGGAAATCCAATTCCCAGGCACCAAGAGGGAAGTGTAAGAACTCTAGGTTCTTCAATAGTGGAAATATTTCTTTTTCAGGGAGCTCCCATGGAGATACAGGGTTTTAAGAAAATTAAAAGAATTACAGAGATCAACTAAGAATAGAAGTATTACTTCATTTTCACGTGGCCTAATATAAGTTGGGAAATTTGCCCATCTTAATCTCTTGGATATTTTACTTGTTTTGGTGTCTTGTATTTTAAAGAAAGAAAATGGACATTTATTGAAAGCCTGTCCTAGCCCAGTCCACACAACCCCTAATATATATTTTATTATCCCCATTTTATGGATGACATTACAAGATTGTGGTTGTATGGTTATGCCTGGGGCCACAAGGACAGCAGGTAGAACTGGGACTCTTATACAGTCTGTTTAACTTCAGAGACCTGTCATTTTCTACCATGCACACTGATTTATGTTTTGCAGAAAATTATTCTGTGACTATAGATAAGTCTCATACCTACTCTGATCCCAGTTTCCTCTCCTATAAAATGGAGGGGTTGCAATAACTTCATCACTAAGATTTCTGCTTGTTGTAACACTCTTGAGAGCCTTGAAGGACCTGAATTCAGGGCAAGAGGAGACCTGATTGTCTTTCCTATAGGTAAATGCTGATTTTAAAAAATAGGAAAAATAAAGAGAGAACAATATGAGGTAGGACATATTGGCTTAAGTAAATGTGAGTGTGGTTCATGTAGCTTCAGAAATTGAAACGGCTAGAGGTAATTTTGCAAATAGTTTTAGGGTCCATGAAGAACTGAAGCCCTTATGTAAACTTCCTTAGACATACCAACTAGGCCATAAGAAATGGGAAATGCCTAGATTGGAAACTTTTTTTGTTGTTTTTTGAGATGAAGTGTCGCTCTGTCACCCAGGCTTGAGTGCAGTGGCGCAGTCTCGGCTCACTGCAACCTCTGCCTCCCGGGTTCAAACAATTCTCCTGCCTCAGCCTCCTCCGTTGCTGGGGCTACAGGTGTGTGCCACCACACCCAGCTATTTTTTTGCATTTTTTAGTAGAGACGGGGTTTCACTGTGTTAGCCAGGATGGTCTCAATCTCCTGACCTTGTGATCCTCCCACCTCGGCCTCCCAAAGTGCTGGGATTACAGGCCTGAGCCACTGCGTCCAGCCTAGATTGAAAACTTTATGGCTTCCAAACTGCTGACTCCAACCTAAGTTGCAGCTTTTCATCAGGTAATCCAAAAAGAGACTCTTACAGGGTTTTTGAACGAAAGCTCAGCCTTTTGGAGCACATGATTCTGTTTACTGATATTTCCAGAAATCTTCATCACTTAAGGAATTTGAATTACTCGTATGATCTTCTCTTCTGTTTTACATTCCCTCTTCCTTTGCACATAGTAGATGAGGTGGCCTTTCACATAATTTAGTACCTTTGATAGGGAGAAAAATTATCTATAGTTATGAGAGAGGCCATTACTTATATGGTTAACTACATTTTTAACCCTTCCTTCCTTCCTTTCTTCTTTTCTTCCTTCCTTCATTCTTTCCTTCCCTCCCTCCCTCCTTTCTCCCTTCCTTCCTTTCTTCTTTCCTTCCCTCCTCCTTCCGTTTTGGAGAAAGGAGGGGAAGGGTTTTGCTTTCAACAGCTTCTGTGTTTCAATTTATAGTTTCTACAAACAGTATTTTTAAAGACTCTAATAGGCTCACTCATCACTGGCCTGACCCATGCTCCACTTTCTCTCCCAGCTGGGACACCTGGCTCCTTGGCCAAGGCAGTGAAAGAAGAGATCACAGGCTGGTCATTGACAATGGCTCCAGCATGTGCAAAGCTGGCTTTGCTGGGCACAACATCCCCCAACCCGTATTCTCCCTCTATCTTTGGGCACCCCTGGTACCAGGGCATGATGATGGGCATGAGCGAGAAGGACTCCTTCTAGGCCCAGAGCAAGCACAACATCCTGACCCTGAAGTACCCCACTGAGCATGGCATCATTACCAACTGCAATGACATGGAGAAGATCTGGTACCACATCTTCTACAGCCAGCTGCAAATCACCTCTGTGGAGCACCTGGTTCTGCTGACCAAGGCCTCCCTGAACCCCTAGGCCGCTCATGAGAAGATGACCCAGATAATGTTGGAGACTTTCAACACCCCAGCCATGTAGATGGCCATCCAGGCTGTGATATTCCTGCACTCCTCTGGCGGCACCACTGGCACTGTGATGAATTCTGGTGATGGGGTCACCAACATGGCGCCCTTCTACCAGGTCTGCATTCTCTTGCATGCCATTCTGCATCTGACCTGGCTAGCTGGGACCTGACTACCTCACAAATACCCTCACAGAGCAAGGGTACAGCTTCACCTCCATAGCCAAGCAGGAACTCATGCACAATATCAAGGAGAAGCTATGCTATCTTTCCCTGGACTTCCAGCAGGAGATGGCCACCACAGTCTCCAGCTCCTCCTTGGAGAAGAATTAGTAGCTTCCAGACAGCCGGGTAATCACCACTGGCAATGAGAGGTTCCCTCCTTCCTGGGCATGGAACCTTGTGGCATCCATGAGACCACATTCAACTTCATAAAATGTAATGTGGACATCTACAAGGACCTATTTGCCAACACAGTGCTGTCTGGTAACACTAACATATACCCAGGGATCACCGACAGGATGCAGAAGGAGATCACTGCCCTGGTGCCCAGCACCATGAAGATCAAGATCACTACTCCCTTTGAGGGCAAGTACTCAGAATGAATTGGTAGCTTTATCCTAGCCTCCCCGTCCTCCCACCAGCTGAGGTAGATCAGCAAGCAGGAGTGTGATGAGCTGGCCCCTCCATCATCCACTGCAAATGCTTCTAAATGGACTGTAAGCAGATGCATAGCATTTGCTGCATGAGTTAATTCAGAAGTACAAATCTGCCCCAGGCAAATGTATACACCACATGGTAACCTCACAAAACTGGAATAAGCCTTTGAAAAGAAATTGGTCCTTGAAGCTTGTATCTAATATCAGCACTGGATTATAGAATTTGCTGCTGACTTTGACCTTGTATTCAAGTTAATTGTTCCCTTGGTATTTGTTTAACACCCTGTACATATCTTTGATGTAAACCCTTAGTACATGTTGCTCGATCACTTTCTGGCTGAGGTGAGAACGTGCTTTTGGAGGAGAAGTCTGTGGCATGGTGAATCTGCCTGACCAGCAGTCTCTTGATCTGTGCGTGTATTAATGTGTCAGAACTGAGCGTTTCAGGATTTCTCTAGAGGCCGACAAACTGGACCAGTTGTCCTTTCTGTCTTGCCAGTCTGTGAGGGTTGGAGGAGCCCAAGCCTTCGGATTCAGTTTCCTTTCTTACCTGATGTTTTCCTGCCAGAACACCATGGTTTGCCTTGAGTTGGAAGTGGTTTGCATTTACACCTGTAAATGTATTCATCCTTTTAATTTATGTAAGGTTTTTGTACACAATGCTCAATTCTTTAAGAGACTAAAACAAATCTTGTTTTTCTCGTGTTATGCGAGGACATTAGGCCCCAGGAACATGTCATTGTGAAAGTACTGCAGTAAAAAATATAAAACAAGATTAAAACAAATACTTCAGTGGGCACACTTTTACATAAAAATTCTGTATATTTCTATGAAGTCAGCCTGTCTTTTGTTACCCTCTGATGGACCAAGTACCTTAAGCAAATATTCCTTTCTCGGCAGTTTGAATACAATTAAATTTTGTAGGATAGATCCCCATGAATTTTTTGATTCTAGGTTAGGGTGGCAGAAATGGGGGCTAGCTGGTTAAAAACTCAAGACCAAGGTACTCCTTCAATCATATTATGAAACATATGTATTTTAAAAATTGAGATTCATGTAATTTTCTGACTTGATTGAACTAGAAACTCTCAGCAAGAGCTTGATTTCCAGCCCATTATCCAGACCAAATAGGTTTGGATGAGCTCCTGTTAAGTATGCAATTCTTAGGCGCTCTGAATTCTGCTCATCAACAGTAAAGACATGTTGCAGATGACAAGCAGAGGAGCTTTTGGGTCCTCTAATTTCCACTGTCTGAGCCATCAGTGAGCAGGGGCACAGCATCCTAACAGAGAGTGCCTGCACAGGCCTTTCCCAAAATAGCTTCTTGGCTGCTCTCCTTTGGCTACTTCTCTGGGCTAGGAACATAAAAGGCTGGCAAACCTAGGATTACAAATGTCACTGCATAGTATCAGCAGATCACAGAGTGGTGATTCAATTATTAAGCCCCTGACTGGGCGCGGGGTGGGGGCTGTCTCAGTTTTCCTATCTTTAAAATGGGAGTAATGCCATTTTAAAGGTGTGCTACTAAGAGAGGTGATATATACATGTATATACATAAAGTGTCGTGCAAAATGCCTAGCATAGGGAACACAATAAAGTGCTTGTGGCATCTGGTGGTTGTTGGTGTTGTTTAACGAATGTAACAAGTACATATGAAATAATTGCTTTATGTCCATGCCTTGCAAAGAGATCACAGACATTAGGGCTCCTGTCCAGGCAGAGCCCACATGGACCCTACCTGCACCTGTCCTCTGCCCAGAGCCCCTCACTATTTGCCAAGCCTGTTAGGCTTCCATTGTGTGCCATGCAGGCTGGAGTGCCACCTCTTCTTATTCAGATCACCAGACCTGGTAGTCATGCAATTTCAGGCATGGAAGAAACCTTTGCCAACAAAATGAAAAAGGAATTCTAACTTCTTTCTTTGCCAATTCCTAAACCTAGATGGTCATGAGAACTGAGATATATACTTTTCTTCCCCCAGTGCCTCAAAAGGCATGTACTACTTAGCTCAGGCCTAAAGGTGATATGTTCTTTATGAATATGTTATTCAAAGTGTCAGTGCTCAATTTGAACACATTTTAAAATTGTAGATATGGTGCCTTTTTAATGAAAGGTGTTAGAAAGCTGCAGCTGTCTGGCATGTGCCAGTAGTTTTAGTGCATATGTGTGTGTTTGTGTGTTATGTAAGTTATTCATGCCCTTTTAGAGAAATTGAGAGATAAACAGTAATAAAAATGTAAATGACCCAAAATTCCACTATGCAGAGTCTATTTAGTTGTTAATCTTCTGGACTCTTTTGGGCATCCATATACATGCATCTAAATTTAAAAATGTAGACATCCTGAAATAAAATAGGGCCATATTTTACACGCTAATTTTATTCCATTCAATAATATTGTAACTGTCTTTACATCTCATTCTCATATATATACGTATATGTGTGTATATACACTCATTTATGTCTTTATCCCAAGTGACTATAAATACCATAATTTATTTAATCAATTTCCTATTATCAAATAGTTGTTTTAATGTTTTTCTCATAAATGTGACCCAGGCATTACTAGCCAATAAGTACAAATATAGTACCATTAGTTCTTCAAATTTAATATCTCTAGTGGTCCAACTTCCATCATTTTCAAAATTTTCCTCCTTCAGTATTTCCAAGAATCCCCAGGTGCTACGTGTGTCCATGGATCATTCCTGTTGCTCGCTTCTCTGGCCAGCTGGACCAAGGCAGTGCATCCCCAAGTTCCACAGGACATGCTCTGGCCTGGCACTGTGCTCCTGTTGTTGTGCTACTGACCTCATCACCACGTTCTGAAAACCAACCATTCCAAATGTGTCCGTTAATGCATTTCAAAATTGGCAATCTCTTCTGCTACATAAGCCCTATGAAGTGAAAAGGAAAAGATACCTTCGCTATGCTCAGCTAGGACCCCATAGCGAGGGTGCCTGCAGCCCAACATGTCCACTGTTGTTATACACTCTATCAATTCTCACATAACTACTTTCTCTGAGTGGCCACCCACACCTCTCTAGTAAAGGGCAGAATGACCAGTTTGCTGGAACTTTTCTGGTTTTAGCGCCCTAAGTCCCATATTCCAGAAAACTCCTCAATCCTAGGCAAATCTAAATAGTTGGCCTCTCTAGTAGAGGGGTTGATTCAAGTGCTGGTACCAGCCAGCGCTTTGTATTTGGAACCACCGCTTCCTTCTAATGATGAGGCCCTGTTGATAAGCCAGGAGCTTACTTTCTCCTTTCTAATGAAATTCACCTTAGGATTACCACCAACTGGTTTTCACCAGAGCACATTCACTAGAGCCACATTCACCAGATATGTCTGCCTATATCTCAACCTCAAAAAAAAAAAAAAAAAGACATGGTTTTAAGTATTGTATCCCAAGAGGCTCTTCAGCTCTTCAATTAGCCTTGTGTTTAGCCTCTGAAACTAGTGGATGCCGGTGCATATAAGGTAGGAGAGGTGTTGCCTGACCCCACTCAGCAGTAACTCTGGAATCTCATTGTTTTTACTTTCACATGAACAAGGCCATGATGAACATCCTTGCACTTAGACCTCTATGCATGAGCTTGATTGTTTCTTCAGGATAAATTCCTCCAAATGTAATTGCTTTTTGGGATTTGATACATATTGCAGTTTCCCTCCAGAAGGTCTATTCCAATTTACTCTTTTGGATTTATTTTTTAAACCATGCAAATCTATGTTCAGAATGAAAAAGAAGCTCTGACCACTTTGTAGGAGAAAAGAGCATGTTCTATGCCAGAAAGTCCTTGCCAGAGGGGAAAGGGAGAGGACATGAGAAAAGGGCTGGGGAGGAAGAGTTCCAGGGTTGCCTGAAAGGACATGAGCTTTAATAAGCCACTTACACTCAGGGCTTTGTGGTTACTACAGAGCACCTTCTCCTAGAATAACTATGCCCCTCTGAGCACAACATTTCCTCTTTACAGGTCAAAATTTCTGCAGGCTGCTACAGGCAGACCCCAGCCAGGGAATCTGCACTTAGAAAGAAAACAGAGACTGGGAAAATTCCACTCTGACTTGCCCTCTTTTCTCATTTGATTCCTATGAAACTGTGGCTACTGGGCTCCAGGAAACAAAAATAATAAGAAACCCAAACCAAGTTCATCATTAGCAAAATGAAGTAGTCTTCCAGTCATTTGGAGGGCAGCCCAACATGGGATGGAGGATTCTGCCTTAGAGAAAGTTCCTGAAACAATGTGTGATACTGATCAGGGTAACTGACAGGGCTTGTGTGTCATACAACCCTTGATTACCAGGTCTCCTGGCTTCATGGGTCCAGCTCCCTAGTGAAAAACTGGCTCAATATGTCCCAGAATCAGGCAGAAAAAGTGAAACCTGGGATTATGGAGTTTATCAAGTTATATTCAACATATAACCAGCACAGCTAACATTTTCTTGGTATGCGAATGTATCAAGGTATATTCAATACATACTCTGGGACGAAACACACAAGGAGGTGTATACAAAGGGCATGTCTGGCTCCATACAGTTTCAAATCCAAGTAGAGAAAATATAAGGGATTCCGAATAAAGAGAATGTCCTGTTTGTGTGAATACTTTGTAACTCTTGTAAGTTACTGTCTTCTCTTCACTGAACAGTATGGAATGAAAATCATTGTTACCATTTAATCTAATTTGAATGCCAAGTGCACTAAATAGGTACCATTTACATAATTAACTGGAAAAATAACAAAAATAATACCCAATTTCCTCAACACTCCTGCAGAGTCCTGGCTAGGTAGGTGGTCCTGATCCTAGTCCTAGCTGACCAAGATTTCCCAGCCAAGAGCAGGCTTTCAGGACACCCCCACTGGCTCATCCAAGACATCCTCCTGCACTGCCTGGACCTGAATGAGGAACAAGAAGCAAGAAATCACAGCATTGGAGATCATGGCTGAGATAATGCTTTTATTTGGATGCTTAACTCTCCTATGTCTCATGGGAAAAATAATCCAGCAGGACATACCAGAAACTTGGTTTCTGATCTGTGTAAATCCAGCCATAAGTAAATTACTTCTCTTCTCTGGGAATTAGTTTCCTGCCCTTTAAAATTAGGAGTTTGAACTATGTTGTCTCCTAAGATCTTTTTACCTGTACTATCATCAACAAAATAGCTCCCATCAAATAAAACATCTATATCTCTTTTGGGTTTTGAATAAGTTCAATTTAAAACCATCATTTGAATTTCTGCAGGCACTGTGTGAAAAGTCACATGCTAAAGGGCAATTGTTTGTCCTTCATTGTTTCACCACTGTTGCCCTGGTTGGCCTTGGGTAGTCGGAGCTTTCTATATGTCCTGAACATGGACAAATACATCCATTGCCATCAAAATGGTAAAAGAAAGTGCAGTTTTGCTGTTTTTGTGCCATTCTTTGGGTTTATTGGCTTCTTGGGAGGCAAATAAATGAACTTTTGCCACCTTCACTGTTATATTCCTTCACGTTCTACACTTCAGAGTGCAGATTCTAGACTGACTGCTACTTACTCAAGCCTTTCCCCGAGCTCCAACTAAAGAACATCTGAAATAAACACTTCCACATGTGTTGTAACATTGTCAGCTGGTTTCCAGTGTTGATCATGAGAAGTTGGCAGTCAGTTTGATCATGGTTCCTGTGGGGGTAGCCTGTCCTTTCTTGTTGTTTTCTTGCCTCTTGTTCATGTTGCTGATTTTATCATGTTTTTAGCAAATTTTGATCATCATCTCATATTCCCTGAAACTTTATTTATAATAATTTTCTGAGGACTGTGTTCTTCAGAGAGAGGCCTAATCAACCTGGAGTTATTTTCAACCACACGGTTCATTTGGGTTTTTAGTCCATTGAGATAGCATGAATGTGGGCCCAAATCCCCAAGCAAAGGTTCAGGCAGACAAATGTCACTCTATGAGGCAGGTTATCCTACTGAGGGTGTAACCCTCCAAGGGTGATGTTTTATTCGGAGCCCCAGACTTCATGTCTAGTCCCTTCTGAATGTGACTCTAGGCCACCAGGATAATCCCTGGACTTGGGAAAAATGTTAGCTCTATTGGTTTTAAAATTATGTCTACATATTCCCCAGTACTCCTTCTTTGAAAAAGTGGAAACTAAATTCCACTCCCCTAGAGTATGGGCTGAACTGGATGACTTGTTTCTAATGAATATAAAATGATGGAAGTCATGGTGCTTGACTTTCAAGACACTATGGCCTCCTCCTTGCTCTCCTTGGACTGTTTATCGTGGGGGAATGCCAGTTACCAAAGTGTCAGGACACTCAATCAGCCCTATGAAGAGGCACTACAGCATGGATGTGAGGCCTCCTGCCAAAAGCCATGTGAGCATGCCATCTTGGAAGCACATCCTCCAGCCCCAGAAAGCCTTCAGATGATCATAGCCATGGCCAATATCTTGACTGCAGCCTCTGAGCCAAAACCACCCAACTAAACAGCTCCCAAATTTCCAACCCACAGAAACTGAGATAATAAATATTTATCATTTTAATGCACTAAGTTTTGGGATAAGCTGTTACTCATCACTAGCTTATCTCTTGGAATTCTCCTTTTTTTTTTTTTTGTCACTCTGGCCTTCAATTATTTACTTTTAAAAGTACTTATTACATTTCATCTAGGATCTTGGGGAGTCATTTCTTGGAAGCAGCTTCTCTGCACATGTAGCCTGCCATATTTCTGAAAACAGAAGTCCTCACATTTGTTAACAAATCCTCTTGTCAAATCTAAAGCTAGTGAGGCAGGTTCATTAACCTCATGATGTAGGTAAGGAAGCCATTTCAAAAAGGCTGAGTATCCTCCCCAAGGTCACATTGCCGGCAGGAATGGAGCTGCGATTTGAGCCCAAGTATAACAAACACCAAAGTCCATGTTCCCTTTAAAATCACAAGCTGCTTTCCATGGATAGAATTGAAAACACTGTTGTCATTCAAGCTAACCATTTATCCATTGGGATGGAGCAGATAGGGAAGGGATAGATGGGAAGAAATAGAGGCAGAAGGCTAGGGTCCCTGCTACCAGTGTGTTGAGGCTGCAGAGGGACTTTTGTGATCTTCAAGTGGACCTCCCAACTGTTCCTTGGAAAAGTCATTTGTCCCCATGCTGTCCTCTCTTCTACTTCCCAGGGCGTTTCCCAGGGACCTACTCTAAAGTGTGACCTAGAGCGCTGCTCTCCCTTTGCATGTGCCCTCTGGTAGGACTGGGCTACTTGGTGGTTCCCATTTGTGATCATTTCCAGACAACCCCCAGCTCTTTTTGCAGCCCTGCCTCTCAGTCCTTCCCAGGCTTGTCTCTCTAGTGGTCATCTGGAAGGTTGCACAACCAAATGATGAGCTCATAATATCATATACCCAGTAGGCAAGTAATTTAACTTCCCTAAGCCTCAGATTGCTCATCTATAAAATGGGAGCAATAGTACTTGTTTCATGCACTTGTGAATATTAAATGTTATACTATAAGATACATAAAACCCAGTGATTGTCATATAGTAAAAGCTGACTACTGAATAAATGGCAGTTATCTAGAAAGTTTAACAAATTTAGTTGCTATTGGCTGGTGGCATAGCATGTGATAGGGAAAGGTTTGTTTTTACGTATTTTCCAGTTTTCACATTTCATTGTAATACAAATGTAAATTCAGTGAAAGGAACAGGATGAAAATATGCAAGGCCTTTCCTATGGCCTTTACCAACCAGGGATTTAACATCATTAAGATAGCTACTTGGACAGTTTAAGGCCACATATTTGCAAATGGGATTTTAAGGGTGAAAACTCATTTGTAACCCTAAGGTGTTTAAACAACCCTGCAATTTGACCTCAAATCCCCACAGCACTATCTTAACTACTCCAGCATCCTGTCTGCCAATCCCAGTCTTCCTTCTAAGACCACCTGTCAATTGCTGCAATGGCTGGGGCTTTGTGAGGCTCTCAGCTGTAACCTGATCTCCACAAGAGTTTGACGGATGCTGCAGCTGCCACGAAATTTGTAAGTTTTACAGAGTTGTGCTGTGGCTGGGGTTCAGTGTCAGTCCTCTGGAAAGTTTCCATTCATTCATTTACTCATTCACCAAAACGTGTTGAGTGCTCGTGAAGGGCTGGTCCCTGTGCTAAGCCCTGGGAGTTGAAAGGAAGTAAAATAGTGCCTCTGTCTTCAGGGAGCTCACAGATTAGTAGCAGGCATAGAAAGACAAAGACGTATTACAACACAGATTCGTGCTTGATACAAGAATAGAAGCAGATACGGAAGAAAGTAATTGACCATCCAAGGTGGGAGGGGAGGGGAGGCACAGCTTCCCACAGGCATGATATCGTGTGGGCTGTGAAATGTTTCTCTTGGCTCTAGCACCAACTCCCATGTAATGGCACCCTGCCTTCCTACCTTTGTTCTTCCTATCTCACTGCCCCAAATCCTTTTCTAGTTCTCATTTACTGTTAAATGAGTTCCCAGTATCTTATTTCCTCACTTTTGTAGCACATCTCCCACCCCAGTTCAACCCCAGAGGCACTTTCTGTTCAACATTAAATCCTGCCGTTTCTTCTTCTGTCTTCCTTCGCCTTCCCAGGGCTCCGGTCCGAGACATAATCGCTTCACACCTGCACTCCTGCCTTCCAATTAGCTCCCCTTCCTCCAGCCTGGGGGTCTCCTCTCCTCTATTGGACACACATCATCGAGAATCATCTTCCTCCAGCGTCACTTAGATCACGTCACTCTCCTCTTCGCTTGCCCATAAAGGCTCCCAGCTGTCTCCCAAATCATATTAAAACTCCTCTAGTCTCAGGCTTCAAGACCCACTACCAGCTAGCACTGCCTTACCTAACAGCCGGCCTCGCTCAGCTCAGGCCCACAGCTTCGCTGTAGCCAGGCAGAGCTCTTCCACCTGCTTCTTTGCACCTGCACAGCCATCCCTATCCATGCAGCTATCTGAACTCTCACAGAGGTGTGTGTGTGTGTGTGTGTGTGTGTGTGTGTGTGTGTAGGGGAGGGCGTGTGTTTGCAGGAGAGGGAGGAAAAGAGAAGGGGAGCCAGCCACTCTCCCTCCACATTCTACTCTGGGGGAAAGTTCTGAAACAGGAGCACCAAGGGCAGAGATGAAAGAGAAACACAGGAGAGGGCGGTGGCAGGACATCAAGAGGGAAGGAGCTAGGATCATGCTCTGCTGCTGGTCCTGGACAGCTGAAAGGACACAGGAGCAGGTGCTGGTGGCTCTGCTGACTCTCTCGCTGCTTCCCTTCGGTGTTGCTCTGCCTTCTCTTTTCTTGGGGTGATTGCTCCAGTCCCTTAGACACATGCATTGCATCATGTCATTCTTACCCTTAACACTCCTCTGAAGCTTCCTCTCAGGGTAGAGCACAGCTCTTTTCACTCAGAAGGATGTGGTCTGACTGGGCGCTGTGTCTCATGCCTGTAATCGCAGCACTTTGGGAGGCCAAGGTAGGCGGATCGCTTGAGGTCAAGAGGTCTGGCCAATACGGAGAAACTCATCTCTACTAAAAATACAAAAATTAGCCGGATATGATGGCTGGTGCCTGTAATCCCAGCTACTCACGAGGCTGAGGCAGGAGAATCTCTTGAATCCAGGAGGCGGAGGTTGCAGTGAACTGAGATCATGCCACTGCACTCCAGCCTGGGAAACAGAGCAAGACTCTTTGGTCCCCAAAAAATAATAAGAAACCTGTGGTCTGACTTTGCTGCTTCTCCAGCGTCATCCCATACCAATCTCTTCCTTACTCACTAGGCTGGGGACTGTCTGGTTGTTCTTCCAGCCTCTGAAATACTCCCCTCCTATGGCGGGGCCTTTGTACATACTGTTGCTTCCACCTGGCATCCTCTTGATCCCATTCCTCATCTAGCCGAGCCTGTTCATCCTTCAGGCCTCAGCTTCCATCCCACCTTCCCTGACCACCTTCACTGTAATTCTCTATGACAACAACATTCTGTCTAAGTCTTTTATAGTGCTAGCTATGGTTTGTAAATTGACATGGAATAATTTGTTTTCTCATTGACTGGCTACCTCCACTAGTAAGTTGTAAGCCCTGTGAGGTAGGAAACCATTCGTCTTGTTCACTGATGTGCTACTATAAAATGCCTGGCACAGAGTAGGAGCTCAGTAAATATTTTTACTAAGATGACCAGCACTTTGCTCACTCAGCGTCATCCATCATCTCCCCAAACCATAGGTGCCCTGTGCTTGGCCCAATTTTTGGACAAAAGGATATACTTTGGTCTTCCAGGAAGCTTTGCTCTATTAGCCTTGCATATGAAATCCCCAAAGCCACTATTTTATGCCTTTCAAAATCTATTCAAACATCTTCTGCTTCTGAGACAATTTTGCAAAACAACCCTTTCCAAGTCTAGTCTAGGACCTGCAAATAAAAATGCCCATAGAGGCCAGCAAGTAATGGAGTGAGGTGGGCCGTGTGTGGAGTGAGAGGGGGTGCTGGGGACCACGGTTACCTGCTAAGCTGGCGTTCCATGTAAAGAGAGACAGTACTTGCTCTGCTCCAGTGTGTTATTAACATGCAAGGAAAGTGGGCCTCATACTGTTAGATTTTCCAATTTTTTAAACAAAGCTAAAAATAAGAATTGGTATATGAAACACCCATATTTTAAAAACAGGCTGGAGGAATCATTCTACAATCTCTACCAGCCTGATGGTCAACTTCTGCTCTATTCTGTCAAGGTGGTTGCTTCACACTTGAGTCTGTGTGTGGTGGGTATTACTCACATGCCTGAGTCCATGGCATGCTGTGCCATGCCATAGCTGATGCCAGGATTCAGGCTCCCTGCCTTCTTTCCAATCCCTCCGAAGCACCCCTTCTTTTTGTCAGGGTTTCTTCCCAGGAAGGCAGCAGCCAGCTGTGCTGTTGAGTGGACAGAGCCTTGCCTGTGAGGCGCAGAAGCACAGCACTTCACCAAGGCTCCCAGATTTTGTTCATTCTGCCTCCATCCCTCCGTCAGTGCGAGAATTACAGACTTTCCATTTTATCTGCTCTCCTTCTGCCTTAATGCCTTTGTTGAAAAGTATCCCCATCCTTTGTTCTAAATTCCAATGTCTTTTGTGCTATGATGATAATGTTAACTCTATAATTGTGCATAAGTCAGCAAACCAGAGTAATGCCTTATCCATTCAGCATTGTCAGGAAATGAGGTGTTCCACATAATTAAATTGTCCAGATAACCAGAGCTAACCAACATTTTAAAGATCAACATTTTTAAAACAGTCAGTGGAAACATCCCAAAGTTTATTATACACCCTTTTGCTCTTTTATTTTAAAATTATTTTTTATCCTTTTTTTTTTGGGATAGAAACAAGAGGGTAGAGAGTGATCATTAAGTCTTCCTCCTATCCCAGCACCACGGCCCTCACTTCCCCATGCCTAACAGAGGCTACTGGTGCCACCATTACCAAGCTACACACATGTCCTTCCTGTGATAGTCTACATGTAGACAAGCCTGAAAGTGGCATGCCAGGTGCTCTACTACACCTTGTCTTTTAAGGACTTATGTATTGGTCATCATTTTTCATCAATACACAAAAAGCTGTCTCATTCTATGTAATGGCAACATCTGGTCCATTGTATGGATACAGCATTATTTAATTAATCAGTTCCTACTGATGAGCATCTAGTTATTTTCAATCTTTTGCTATTTTTAAAAATGCTACAGTTTTAATCTACTTACTCCATTTTGCACACATTCAAATATATTTGTAGGTTAAATTTCCAGAAGAGAATCGCTGGCTCCAAGAAGGGATATGTGCTTTTGTCATTGTGATAACTATTATCACATCACCTTTCATTTTTCGCATCAATTTCTTTCTCTTGCTATCACTGTATGGGAGAACTTGTTTCCCCACATCGTCACCAGCACAATATACAACCAAACTTTCTTTAAAATTTTTAACAGTCAGCACGGAAAGGATACTAGTGCATTTAAGTTTTTAAAATGTGTATTTTATTGTGGAATGTGGCTTTTATAAAGTGTTCTTCTCTGTGCTTCTAATATGCTGTGGTTTGAATTTTACTTTGTCTGATATGAGAATTGTAAAACTTTCTTTCTTACCATTTTCATTTTTCTTGTGACTTTTTGTGCATCCTCCCTTTCCTTTAGTGTGATATATTCGTTATAATTGATAAACCAGTATTGGTATGTTATTTTAGCTACATTAGGGTTCACTGTTGGTATTATACATTCTATGGGTTTGGGCAAGTATAGCATGTTTCCACCGTTGTAGTGGCATACAGAGTATCTTCACTGTTCTGAAAGTCCCCTGTGCACCTATTCGTCCTCCTTTGCACTCCCCTCTAGAACCCCTGGCAACCACTGATCTTTTTACTGTGTTCATAGTTTTGCCTCTTCCAAGATGTTGTATAGTTAAGATTCATACAGTATACAGCCTTTTCAAACTTGCTTCTTTCACTTAGTAATATGCATTTAAGTTTCCTACATGCCTTTCCATGGCTTACCAGCTCATTTCTTTAGTATTGAATGCTATTCTATTGTCTGGATGTACCACAATTTGTTTATCCATTAACCTTTTAAAGCATATCTTGCTTGCTTCCAATTTGGGGCAATTATGAATAAAGCTGTGATAAACATTCATGTGCAATTTTTTATGTGGACATAAGTTTTCTTTTTCTTTTTCTTTTTTTCTGAGACAGAGTTTTATTGCCCAGGCTGGAGTGCAATGGCACAATCTCGGCTCACTGCAACCTCTGCCTCCCTGGTTCAAGCCATTCTCCTGCCTCAGCCTCACAACTAGCTGGGATTACAGGCATGTGCCACCATGCCCAGATAATTTTTTGTATTTTTAGTAGAGACAGGGTTTCTTCATGCTGGTCAGGCTGGTCTCAAACTCCCAACTTCAAGTGATCCACCCACCTTGGCCTCCCAAAGAGCTGGGATTACAGGTATGAGTCACTGTGCTCGGCCTTATGGACATAAGTTTTCAACTCATTTGGATAAAAATCTAGGAGCATGCTTGCTGGATTGTATGGTGAGGCTATGTTTAGCTTTATGAGAAACTGCCAAACTGTTTTCCAAGGTGACAATACCATTTTGAATTCCCAACAGCACTGAATGAGAGTTCCTGTTGCTTCACATTCTTGCCAGCATTTAATGCCGTCAACATTTTGGATTTTAGCCCTTCTGATAGACGCGCAGTGATAGTTCATTGTTATCGCTGTACATTTTAATTTGCCTTTCTCTAATGACATTGAGCACCTTTCAATATGCTTGCTGGCCATATACTCTGGTGACGTGTCTTCAGATTTTTTGCCTACCTTTTAATGAGGTTGTTCATTTTCTTATTATTTACTGTTAAGAATTATTTGTATGTTTGAATACAAGTCCTTTATCTTGGTTTTGCAAATATTTTCTCCCAGTCTGTGATTTGTCTTCATCTCATTTACTTTTAATTTGCAGCTCTCTTAGTATGAGTGAGGTTTATGAGCATCTTTTCATATTTTAAGGGCCATGTGTATTTCTCATTCTGAGTACTATGTATCCTTTGGTCTTTTCATGCTAATGACTTGGTAAACCTAAGAAAATTTAACCATTATTCGAGAATCATAAATGTGAACATAGGTTGCTACATTATACCATGATTGTCCAAACTGGTCTGCTCTTTTGAGCTTTTGTATCTGTTTTTTCATAGTTCCCTCTTCTCTTCCCAGGGTTTAGGATACATACCATCATTTCTTGGTTCTCTTAAGTATCTGTCTTTCAAAGCCTCTGCCCCCTTCTTGTAATCTGATGCCTCTGATACTAAGAGTTTCTGATACGAAAACAATAAAATGTGCTATAATAAACTCGATACTTGACTGATTCATGAGTCAAATTCAGAGACCACAGCACATATACTTTACACCTCTATTTGGTTACTCAGGAGTCTTTATTTTCTGGTTCTTGACCTTCTTCAGAATATTCAAAGTTGTCTAGCCAATGAATTTTTACTTGTAGTATTCTCTGCTAGAACACTTGTGGGTAATCACAGGCTGGAAGCCCTAGTTGTGAGTGGAGCCCATGTGCCGACATGATACTATAAATAGAAATATAATTGCCTTAAATACAGGAAAATTTGCTCCCTCACTACCTAAAGTAGCAATATAAACTTATGTTTCTGGAAAACTTTAAACAAATGATTTTCCAGTGGTATTTTCACGTGGAGGCTCAGGGCAGTCGCGGTACTTGCAATGCACGAGCTTTTCTGCCTGGCTTTGGAACTGCGGTTTCCCGTGTTACTTGGGAAGGAGCTCCGCTGCCTGGTAGCCCAGCTGCATCCCATAGATGGCAGTAAACACACTTTTTAGCACTTTCCTTCATCTTCATTGGAATCAGACTCCTTCAGGGAAAGAAAATGAATACAGAAACTGTGGAGTAATAATTAGCAAACAGACTCTAGTCATTTGAAAAATTGGCAAGAAGCCTTATTAAAGGAGGTAATAATAGTCATATTTTGCACTTCTAATAGGGCCTTTTATCTCTAGGCCTCCAAGAGCCTGTCTGAGTCATGTAAAGGAAAAAAAAAAAACACCCTGAGCTGGGTCAGAAGTCAGGAAAAGCTGGCTCTGTTTGACATTCTGTGCAGCTCTCTCATTTCAAAGTGAAGGTAGAGTGTCTCTGTCGAATTTAAATTCAAAGAATTTATGCAGGTTAGAAAAGAAACGGCAAGCAATGCACTGTCAATAAACATACATTCCTGGGTTAAAACAGAAAACATGCTTTTCTCAAAGTTGTTTTCTTGTGGCGATAACAATAGAGCTTTAAGTACTTTGCCTCCTATAAACTCATGGACGACATTATTATTCACAGTGCACTAGACAAATTGAGAAAGCATTTTTATATCCTCTGTCATGTATCAAGGCATAATTATCAGCACATCCTTGTATTTATTCCTATGAGGCTGGAATGCATACCGCTGCAGATGGATATCAGCCCTGCGAACTCGGTATCATTCATTCTTTATCTCTGGCGGTGGTCATAGCAGAAGAAAACGACTCCTAACACATATACACGGCAAATGCCTTAAATCTACAAGATATGGCTGTCCTCCTTGTCCTGCGTCGAAACGGCATCTTCAATTTGCCACAGAAACTCCAGATCTATTGAAATCTTGGAACATTAAAATTCTCCTTCATTGTTGTCAAGGTTTAGTAACTTGACAATCAGAAGACAGACACCCTGACTAACGTTTGAGGGAACGTAGGCTTGAAAATAAGAGCAGCTTTTCCTGGTGCATGAAAATTCGCTTGGGGCTTGATAGGATGAATATAATAACTGCTCTTTTTTTGGCTGTGTGACTTTTACATTGAATAAGTTAATTAACCTCTCTGAGCATCAGTTTCCTCATTGTCATAATTCCTACCTCACAAAAGTTGGTTTAGGGATTAAATAAAATCACGAATGTGAAAGCACTCAGCATAACACGTTACTCAGTAAGTACACAATAACTATTAGTCATTAAAAAATGTAAACATGTACATGCAAACATACATAGGACAGATAGAGAAATCCAGATTTCTCTTGGGTTTCCTCAGAGATTCAGGTAAATTTGTTCAAAGCCCCATCACTTATTCTTGCATTTCCTGCAAATTCATAACTTTATATCCTAGTGATTTCTTCCAATTCTTCTAAATCCAAGAGTCTCAGGTTAATTTAGTGCCCAACCAGTTATAGGCCCAAGTCCTTAACCATTTCCTGCACATAAAAAAATCCCAACCTCTCACAAGAATATTGTGAGTTCTGGTAACTTGATTACAGACACAATTGACAAGAGATCGGGTCTTGTCCCTCAGCCTTCCGTCATTTTGCTGGCGGGCCTCAGACCCATTGTCTTCCAAAAGTGGAGGCTTACAATATGCAACTCACCACCCATGCAGCCCTATTCCTGGAAAGTGCAGCCCAGCCTTCCCCCGGCCTGTTCAACCGCTTCTTGGATGGAGAGCAGCTTGACCTAAGTGACTGGATTGTTCAGCCTCCATGGAATTTTGGAAAATACACTTGTCTCCCTCTTACTACATTATGATTATTAATTCACTGAAGGTCAACATTCTCATAGATGATACCATTTCTTTTATTCTATGGAACAATCTATTCTTGTTTATATGTGAACATATTGATAAACATAGTAATAACATTATCTCATTTGTACTCTAAGAAGCATTTATACATAACAAGCCATTCTTTTAAAAATTACCTAGGGTGGTGGTGGTTGTTAATTTTAATCGGTTTGTATATAAAATTTTTCTGTTCA